TCCGGGGGTCTGCGGGGTCGTGACCACACAGGGGCTTGAGGCCTGACTTGTAATGAGGCTCATCTGGGGCTGAGCTGCTCTTGCAGGAGGGGGAGCGAGCATTCGGGAGCGGGGACAACCTTGCAGGCGCTGACTTCCTCTCCCTCACTCACCAGCATGTTTCGGCAGCCAGAGAGCGTGGGACCTCAAGTCCCGCAGCCCTGGGTTCAGTCCGGGAAACCCTGGGGCAAGTGACTTAACCTTCTGGTGCCTTCCCACTTTCCCATCTGTAAAATGGAGACAGTGACGGTGCCAGCCTCGCTGGGGCATTCCGAGGCTCGTGTGACGTCAACGCACAGCACCCGGCAAGCAGCAAGGCTGTGCTCCTTCCAACGCTGCGTTGGTGAGAAGGGGCTGAACACGCCGGGTCGGGGCCTTTGGGACAAAGGCCTCTCTTAATTTCGCAGAGAGGCGCCCAGCCATGTGAGGGCTGGAACTCCCCTTTCCGTTTTCTGGTTTGGGATTCTGGTGCAGAATAGGCCCAATCTCCCTTCTCTCTCTAAAGGCCCCTGCCACCGGGCAGAAGCTTCTGCCTGAGTCCACGGTCAGGAGTCTGCAGGCCCCGGTGCCGGAGTGGCCCCACTGGTGTCCACCCCCACACCCAGCGCCTGGCCGGGCCTGGGAGGCACAGCCGCCCACCTCTGCTGACGCCACTTCCCCTCGGCCCCGCCCCCATCTCCGCCCTTCCCACCTAGCCGAAGGAGCCAGACCACCTAAGGCCACTTTGTTTTTCATTCACTCATTCACTCGTTTGTTCGTTTGTTCGCCCAGCTGACTTTGATCAAATACTTCTCAAAGGCCGGGCACTGTGGGTCCCTCGGGGACAGGGCCCAGAGCAGACCCTGCCTCACAGAGGCTCGGTGCTGGCTTGGGTTTCCCGCTTGGATGAGACAACTAACTCTAGGAGATTCCACTTGGAATGGGAATTCCTCAGTGGCAGAGACTGCAGGTGACAGGCTTTCTGTCCCCCCCAGTGTCAGGGCATAGTGGGTGCCAGCAGCTGCGTGGCCAGTCCCTGGAGAGAGCCTCTCACGCCCACACACCCCTTAGAAAACCAAGGCGGGAACGGAACTTGCAGTTCCCAAGGGCAAGGGGTGTGTGCTCAGCAATCCCTGGCACATAGTAGGTGCTTAATCAGTATTTTTTAGATAGATAGGTGAATGACTGTTTCTGCCTTGGTGAAGTTTCTAAGTAAACAGAGATTGCAAAAAAAGAAAATTTCTAATCAAACTTCTCTTTTGTCCATGGGTGGTCAAGGCGTCCATCCTCCCGCCTCTTCCTTGCGAGACCAGATGAGCCGAGGACCCTCCTGCAGTGACACTGCCCATGGCACTGCCACTGCCCTGCACGCCCACCTGCCCAGGGCATGGCTGAGGGCTGCATTAGTGTCCTGGGCTGCCGAAACAAATTGCCACAAACTCAGTGGCTTAGAGCAACAGAACTTTATTCCCTCGAAATTCTGGAGGCCAGAAATCCGAAATCAAGGTGTGGGCAGGGCCACGCTCCCTCCGAGGGCTCATGGGGAGGGCCCCTCCTCCCCTCTTCCAGCTGCCGCTGCCTCCCGGCGCTCCTTGGCTGTGGCTGCGTCACTCCAAGCTCTGCCTCCGTCTTCACGGGGCTGCCCCGTGCCTTCTGTCCCTTACAAAGCGCTCGTGGTCGGATTCAGGGCCCACGTGACTACATCAGGATGATCTCCTCTCGAGGTCCTTAATTACATCTGCAAAGACCCTTTTCCCAAGCAAGATCGTGGTCTCAGTTCTGAGGATGAGGATGGACATATATTTGGGGGGTTATGGTTCAACCTACTATTAATGCGATGGCGAAAGAGGGGTGTGTGGAGAGGGCTGAGGTAGGCTGCGGAGCTGCACTTCCCTGTAAAGAGCTGGGAGCTCGGAGAGGCAGCGTGGAGAACCATGGTGCCCGGGGCTTGGGGGAGGGGAAGGGAGGCAGCTGTTGTGCTGAGCATGAAGTGCCGTGGTGTCAGCCTAGCTCACAGCAACCTCAAACTCCTGGGCTCAAGCAATCCTGCTGCCTCAGCCTCCCGAGTAGCTGGGACAACAGGCGTGCGCCACCATGCCCGGCTAATTTTTTTTTCTATATATTTGTAGTTGGCCAATTAATTTCTTTCAATTTTAGTAGAGATGGGGTCTCTCACTCTTGCTCAGGCTGGTCTCGAAATCCTGAGCACAAACGATCCGCCCACCTCGGCCTCCCAGAGTGCCAGGATTACAGGCGTGAGCCACCGCGCCCAGCCTGAGCGTGAAGTTTCAGTTATGCAAAATGAGCAAGTTCTCGAGATGTCTGGACAACTCTGTGCCTACAGTTAACAATAGTACATATACCATATCGTGCACTTCCACAGTTTGCGAGGAGGGTAGATCTCATGTTACAGGGTCTTACCAAAAACCAAAACAAAAAACCCGACAGGGCACGAGTGAACTTCTGAAGTGATGGATGCTCTTACCACCTTGGCTGCGGTGACGGTTTCATGGGTGTTTGCGTATTCCCGAACCCATCGAACTGTACCCATTAAAATGTGCGCAGGCTTCGTTTAGGAGTTATCTCTCAAAAAGGCTGTTAAAAATATATTTTTTTAAATAAGAAAAATTATAGCGGCAGTGACATTGTAATAATATAGTAAGTTATTTTCACATAATGTCAAGCATTTTGCAAAACTAAATTGTTAGTACTATTGTGAAAGGCATGCATATGAGTAAAATGCCTGTGTTCTGAAAAACAAACAAAAAGACACCGTTGGTGACTGGCCACCAGAAATAGCACTATGGCCAATCTGAATGTCACTCAAGGCCTCGGAGGCCTGAGGCGCAGGCTGGCTGGCGCTGGGACCCTGGTGCCCCGGCCTCCCTGAGCATCTCCGGCTGCCCTGGGGGGCGTGAAAGTCACTTGCCAGAGGGCACAGAAGGGCGTCCCCTGGAAGCCCTTTGTTTACTGGCTCTTTGCTGCCTGCACTTTGAGCAGGGTCTTCTCCCTTCTCTACCACTTTGGTGAGGCCACTTTGGGGACTTTCCTGAAACGTGGAGGTTGAGCCAAGAATAAGATCACGGTGTGACTGATCACAATGAGAAGAGCCCCACATTTAGCCCTGGGTCCGGAAGGCGTCAGGTGCCTGTTAAGGGCCGGCCCTGGTGGGCTCCGTGGCTTTGGGGTTGGGCTGTGGGGCCTCCCTGGGTGACCGGAGCCCCAAGGCGATTCTGATGACCCCAAAAACCCCACCCCAGGCTGGGGCTGAGGCTGGGTAATGTTGTCACAGAGGGCCCACAGGGAACTCGAAAAGGGCCCGTGAACCTCCTGAAATGACCTGCACTGATTGTTAGACAAGAACGTGGGGGTGTTTTCCTCCCAGAGGACGAGAGTCCAGGGCTCTCCCAGAGTCCCCGAGTCTACAAGCCCTGGGAGTAAGGAACGTGGCCATGCCGGAATAACCGAATCTGCCCATCACATGTGATCGTTGCGGGTTTCTAACAAGCTTCCATAGCCCCTCGCTCCTTCTCACCTCCGTGAGTGAGGTGCAGGGAGCACCCCGCACATAGCTGAGTGGCAGCCATGATGGAATGTACCAGAAAGAGTCCAGAACTTAGAGCTCAGAGGTTGAGGTCCTAAAGCACAAACACAACCCAGGCAGGTCCACTGGGCCCCGAGCAGAGACTTTTCCCCATGCGTTCCTCCTTGTTTTTCCTCGACTGGTATCTCATCCCTTCTCCAGCTTGCTTTTCTCACCTTTGGTCACCCTAAGGCCACCCGCAGCACCTTGGGCTCAGCTAGCCATTCCCAGGTGGCCCGCCCTGGCCTGGATCCCCTCGTGGCTCTTTTGGGGCAGGTCCTGCTCTCTCCCGAAACCACTGAGAGCCTCCAGCTGCTCCTGCAATTCCAAGGGAACCTGCCCTGCCCTCCACCTCCCGACCCGGTCCCCTCCTGAACCCTCATGGAGCTCCAGGGCTGTGTACACGCTGCCCCCGCGGGGAAACTCCTGCTTGCATAGAGACTCCCTGCACCCACCTCTCCCCTGTGCTCTCACCGCACGCTCCCCGGCCCCGGCTCCCAGCAATCATCAGGAAATGGGATGAAAAGCTCCCCAAGGGCAGAGCCCAGTCTCCCCAGTTCACTGCTGTCTCCCTGTGCCTGGCACAGAGCTGGGCTCAGTAAATGTGCGGATGGATGGATGGATGGATGGATGGATGGATGGATGGATGGAAGGGTGGATGGAAGGATGGATGCAGCGATGGATGAGTGAGCCAAACCCCTCTACCCTGTGCCTCCCTTAGGTTCCCCTGAAGGAGAGATGCCCAGTTAGGAGGTTGTGGCCCTCAGGTACTGAGTTGGAGGTGATGTAGCAGACACAGCGGTCACCAGGAGACAGGAGGAGGCTTCACCCCCCCTCCGTTTCCTGAGGAGGGGCAGGCTGAGACAGGGACCACTTCGGATCTTAACTGAAGAGGCTCCCACTCCTTGGATCTGTCCCCCTCGAATGTTTTTCTGCTTTTGTTTTTGTTTTCCAGAAGGGCGAGGCGATGAGTTCTCAAGCTCTGGTTCTGGCGCTGTTGAGGGCTGGCACCTTGACCCCCACAGTGCTGCCACTGGGCCGGAGGGCCGTGACAGACAGGGCCAGCAGTGCCCCCCCCCCCGGGAGCAGGCGGCTTGTTAGGGTGTTAGGTGGTGTGTGAAAAATGGTGCTGGCGGCCAGGCCCCACCGCGCAGCGACCAGGTCATGGCTGGGTGACACCTGCTCTGCACACACCTCCCCCAGCCACGAGCTGGGCAGAGGGGAGGACAGGCCCCCGGCAGCCCACCCCACTCAGCACCAGGAAGCTCGCAGCACTCACTGCTACTCCCTGCCCTCCTCACGCCGTTTTTATTAAGTCTCTAAGATTGAAATTCGGGGCGGGTAGGGGCGAGCGCCATGGAAGACCGGCTCACCCTCCCGCTCCTCGCTCTGTCCACAGGTGAGCCGGCAACTCGACACGTTCCCCACCGAGGAAGATCGCCAGAGGGCCTTCAAAGCCCACCGGGAAGAGCACGCCGTGCGCCAGGGCACCCTGCGGATGGGCAACTACACCCACCCCTAGCCTCTTGCCCGCCAGGGGAGCCCTTCTCCCGCAGCCCCAGCACACACGGGCTCTCCTCTCTCGCCCCACCTCCTCCACCCCTCCTCCTTCACGCAGGCGCTGCCGCCGCTGCGAGGACCTCAGATTCAGGTCTTAGGTTAATTATTTTTGATAAGAGTCTCCCTTTTTAGGTTAGCCAACACTAGTCTTGCCGTGGCCCCAGTGACCCTCCCTGGGGACTCCTCCTCCTCCTCCTCGGCGGGCAGGCTCACCTGCCTCTCTGCTCGAGCCCGCAGCTGACAAGATAAACCCAAATTACAAGGCAGGTTTTTAGACTCCAGGCTCAGGGTCGATTCCGTGGCTCTGCCCATTAAGTGTTAAGAACAACCCGTGTATTTCCTGCGGAAAGCGTGACAGTGACATGCTTTGAAAGCCCTCATTTTATATTCCAAACATGAGTTTTAATTGCTCTTTTTGGGATGCCTGATGTCTCGCCACGGCAGTATTATCTCTCTGGGACCCCTGACAGCAGGAAGAGCCAATGGTTCATTACTCAGGCCTGTCCCCTTCCTCAGCACAGCGGCCCTGTCAATCTCCTCGGAGGTAGACTCCGGACAGTCAGCCCGTCCCCAGGGAGGGAGCCTGAGGGAGCCTTCCTTCGGGTGACTAAGCTACGCCGGCCGCAGAACTTCCCGCCAGACACCTGGGCGCTTCCTCACTCCGTCTTCCTACGTGTTCTTTGGCTTCCCACAAATTATATGCTGGTCTATTTTAATATTAAAATGCTATTTGACTCCCTACTTTTGTGTCTGTATTTGAAAACCAGTAAGCCTATAACTGGTGAACGAACCAACCTAAGATTCGTTATTCGACGGTGCTACGGCACAGAAACTTTTCAAGGCAGACGGGAACCTCCAAGGCATCCTAACAGTGCCTTTTCTGAGGGAGGCAAAACCCCAAGTTTTCAATTTCGGTTCTCGTCTGAGGATTGCCAAGAGTCGATCTTCAGCCTGGCCCTCTCCCCGGACCTCCAGGTTCGTGCATCCAACGGCTGCTCTCGCGGATTCTCCACTCGGGTCCTGGTGTCCATCTCTAGCCAACACGGCCGAGACGGAACACTGATGTTCCCACCCGGCGCGCTTCTCCCTCATCTTTCCCATTTCCTAAATGAGACCACCATCCACCCCGCCGCTGGGGCCAGACACCCTCACTACTCCCTTCCCTCCGTCTCTCACACCTAGTCCAGCAACAAGCCCGCCAGCGTTACCTCCGAAAACACGCCCTGATCCATCCACTCCTGCGCCCCCAGCCCGTGCCCTCGCGTCTCTCCGGAGAGCTGCCGTAGGTTCCCTCACCGCCCCCCACCCTGCCCCCCACTCGCAGTCCCTTTGCCGCGGAGCAGCCCCTGAGCGCTCCCGGGCAGCGGCCTCCAAGTCAAACCCGCAGTCCTGCAGGCGAGGCCCGGTGCTCCTGCCTTAAGCTTCAGGCTGCTTTTCCCCTTTGCCTGGAGCACTTGGGCCCCAGACTGTCACCTGCCTCCTCCTCCCTGTTGTTTAAGGTTTAGCTCAGAAGCCAAGTCCCTACTCAAAAGGCACCCCTGGGAATCGCCCACTTAAATCTGCACGGATCCCATCGGGAGTTTGTTTGTTGAGGGCCGTCCTCCCCTCTAAAGGGGCGCTGCCGGGATCAGGGGTCTAAGATCTGGGTCCCCTATCCCAGGGTCACACATCCCAACGGTGCTCAGCGATGTCCCTGCCACGGGTCACACCCTGCGGGCCGGGCAGGGAGTGTCGCCCAGCCTCAGTGACTGCCCAGGGGCCCGCACCGCTGCAGTGCCGCTTAGCTGAGCAACACAGACCCGAGTGAGCTTCCCGGTCAGCCGGCTCCCCTCCCCCACCACGCTGCAGCCCATGAGACGCCCGATTGTATAAAAATGCCACACGGGCCCCCTCGACAGACCTGTGCTGCCCCAAGGGCCTGAAGTCCCCCTCCCACCACCCAAACCAGAGGCAACCAGGCATCCTCACTCACCTAGACTGAAGCCCCCCGAAGCCTCCTGACCCGCTCAGAGTGGCCGGCCCGGCGTGGCAGGACAGGGTTCGAGGCCTTTGCGGTGATGCATGTAACACCGTCAGCCAGGACAAAGCCTGGCTCTGCCACGTGGCCTCTGCCTGATCTGGGCAAGTGTCCTAGCGGCTCACTCGGTGCCCCCCCCCCCGTGAGACAGGACCCCCCCTCCCGGCTTCCTGGAGCTAAGGCAGATAAGGAGCACGTGAAAGGACACGCGTGAGGGGCTGGCACGGGCGCGCTGGGAAGCAGTAGGTCAACACGGATCGCCGTGTCTCACTTTGCAAAAGCGCTCGTGCGGGAGAGGGGCAACCCCAGAGCCCTGGGAGTGACTGGGGGTCCAGGGCGGGTGCACAAACGGTCACAGGCTTGGCGTCCAGATATGTCAAGAAAGTAAGGATGCTTTGAGTGGAGCCCACTGTTTTGCTCCGAAACCCCTATGGGAAGGGGAGGGAGGCACGTCTGGAAGCAGAAGAGTTTTCTAAAGGACCCCAAACGGGGCCCTAATCACCAGGGGTGGGGCAGGTCCCCTGGGGCAACCAGAGAGAGATGTCCTCTGGAAGTGTGTGGCCCTCCAGGGCCTGCTTGCCCGAGGCCCCGGCCGGGCTCGGCCAGCAGCAGCCATGGGAAGCCTCTCGCTTGTCCAGCCACTCCTCACCCCACGCACGTGGGACTCGCTAGGCCTGTGACAGGTGCCCTGGGAGCACCACCCTGGACATTCTCTGGAGTCCTCTGGGTGCTCCCAGGCCAGGCCGGCCACGGCTCTCAACAGAGAGAACCTCGGCTCCTTGTCCTACAGCGCCACCCGCTGGCACATCTGAGTCAGAGACCACGGAGGTTCTTGGCCCTTCCCTCCCTGCGTCCCTCCCTCCCCTGGCTTCGTCCTCCCCTCATCAATTATTTGTGCCTGCACAGGGCCCCAGGTCCACGTCTGGTCTGATTCTGGGCCCAGCCCGAGGGGCCCGGTGTCATCTTGGCAGTCTCCCTCCATTGCCGCCCCCCACTTCACAGATGGACGGGAGGTGGCGAGGGCATCTGAGCCCATGTGGTGATCGGGCTGCACGCCGTGTTCCAGAGGCTGCCCCCAAACTACTTCTCCATTAAAGACGGACAGACGTGGGTGAGCTTAGCTTTCCGTCCCAAGTCCTCCCGATCACACACCAACCAATGCCACGTGAGGTGGGTGTCATCAGAGGCACGGCCTCGTGCCCCTGTTTGGGCTGATTTCCTGTCGCGGCATTCTCCCTCCTGGTTGGGCTTCTTAGCAACCCCGTGAGAGGTTTAACCGAACTGTGAGGCCCACGGGTGCAGTCTCCATGAGCCACGGGGAGGCGGCTGCCCTGGACCCTCACCTGGCCTACGAGAGCAGCACTGACAGGGGCTCTTTGGGAAATGGACATATGAAGACAGAAGGGGCTTGGAACCACCTAGAGCGGCCAGAAAAGGCAGAGGACTGCAGAGCTACTTAGCAGCACGGCCAGGGTGGGAACAGACCTGGGAACAGAGCTTCCTGGACGGAAGCTCTGCCGCACCCCGGCCCACTGACTCCAGTCTGCGTCCGGATTTTTAAACTAGAGCCTGAACCTCATTCACTGTCTCCCTATTTCCCTCTCTTTCTCCTCGCCCCATCACTATCGCTGTCGCTATCTGTCAGATATAACCAGAAAATTCATAGTTTTCTCGGCCAGAAGAAAGGAGTCTGGCTGTCGAGCAGGGTGTTTATCGGGGCGGTAGGCTGTCGCGCAGGGTGTTTATCGGGGCGGTAGGCATGAGCCCACAACCGGGCCAGGCCATGTCTGCTCCTGCCTGGAGGGGACTCCTAGAAGCCTGAAGAGGAAGTGCCACTTGCAGGCTACGATCGGATTTCAGTTCCCGGGCAGGTCCCTGGATCTAGAGAGCAAGGATTTGGCTCTTTCATTCACCCACCCCAGCGCCCCAGTTAGTGCCTGTTTGGAACAACAGCGGTCCGGTCCGGGGGCCAGAGAAGGCAGCAGGCACCCCGCCCCGTGCCGTGGGAGCCAGGCAGGTCTGTGTTTCCGGGGAACCACCTTCCCTTGCCTTTATCCTCATGGACTCAGACATCCTTTTTACTGCATTGCTTTTCACTTGGGAAACCCTTTGATGCTTGAAATCATTATTAAGGGGGGAGAAAAAACAAGGTTGGCTTTTTTTTTTTTTTTTGAGACAGAGTCTCATTTGTTGCCCAGGCTAGAGTGAGTGCCGTGGCGTCAGCCTAGCTCACAGCAACCTCAAACTCCTGGGCTCAAGCAATCCTCCTGCCTCAGCCTCCTGAACAGCTTGGACTACAGGCACATGCTATGACACTCGGCTATTTTTTTTTCCTATTTTTGTTAGAAATGGGGTCTCGCTCTTGCTCAGGCTGGTTTCGAACTCCTGACCTCGAGCAATCTGCCCGCCTAGGCCTCCCAGAGTGCTAGGATTACAGGTGTGAGCCACCGCGCCCCGCCAAGTTTGGCTTTTTATACAGGTTCCTAGAACCGAATGCGGGAAACTTACAAACTTGAATCCACAAAGGGGAAATTATCTACGAAGGGGATGTAGACCGAGGGCATCACTGCATTCTGCGAGCTCCACCAGGGTGGGGCCGCTCTGTCATGCTCTCCATGACTCGCCAGCACCTAGCACGATGCCCAGGACAGGGAGTGTGCTTGGAAGGAAGGAGGGAAGGAAGGAAGAGAGGAAGGCACGGAGGGAGGAAAAGAAAAAATATGTTCTCTTCCTGGTTCCAGGAGCTCCATGGGGTTTTTAGTTAAACAAACACAAATGGTTGAGAACAGTGTGACCTTGAAGCCCATAAATTGTCCAAATCCTTGCCCAATCCATCTGTCTGCAGAACAGAGAGATATCGGCGCCCAGCCCTGGCCTACGTCATCCCAGTCCTCTGCCCACCCCACCTGAAAAACTGGTTTTGGTGGAAGGCCCTGGGCACAGGTGGGCGCTGACTTTTCTAGAGAGGGCTGGAGAGACAAGTCTGCAGGCTCCAACTTGCCGGAGGACAAAGCTTCAGATACTAGTCGTAGTTGCTGCGAACTGCGTAACTTAACTGCTGTTCAGGACCCGAAGATTCCTGACCACGTCACGTGGGCAACATCATCTTCATCTTACAGCTGAAAGAAAGAAAAAAAAAGCTCAGAAAGCAGTGATCTGCTTAAAATAATAAAAAAAAAAAAGAAAAGACTACAGTGTGCACCGACACGCCTAGCTAATTAAAATAAAAAAGAAATAAAAGGTTCTGGGTACATTGTTTAACACTCAGATCTACCAAAGAAAAAAGAAAGGAAATCGAACCGGCAACAACAAGGCTGGATTAAGGGAAAGCGGGTGATGTCCACTTGCGCCAAGACACCAAAATTAAAAAAAGGGGGGGTCCAAAAGTCTTGGTAACCAAGACAAATGATATTTTAATGTAATTTTTTTTTTTTTTTGAGACAGAGTTTCACTCATGCCCTGGGTAGAGTGCAGTGGCATCATTATAGCTCACTGCAACCTCCAACTCCTGGATTCAAGCAATCCTTCTGCCTCAGCCTCCTGAACAGCTTGTGACACGCACATGCTATGACACTCGCCAATTTTTCCTATTTTTGTTAGAAATGGGGTCTCGCTCTTGCTTAGGCCGGTCTTGAACTCCTGAGCTCAAGCAATCCTCCCGCCTTGGCCTCCCAGAGTGCTAGGATTATAGGTGTGAGCCACTGCACCTTCCCCTTTAATATAATATTTTTAAATCAAAATTTTAAAATAGGCCGGGCGCGGGTGGCTACATCCCTGTAATCCTAGGCTCTCCTGGGAGGCTAGGCGGCAAAATTCGTTCGAGGTCAGGATTTCAAACCAGCCTGAGCAAGAGCGAGACCTCATCTCCTACTTATAAATAGAAAGAATAATTTGTATATACTATTATATACTAATATAATATACTATAATAGATATATTAAAGTTACCAGGCATGTGGGCGAATGCCTGTAGTCCCAGCTACTCGGGAGGCTGAGGCAGAGGATGGCTGAGCCCAGGAGTTTGAGGTTTTGCTTGTGAGCTACGCTGACGCCATGCCCTCACCTCTAGGGCAACAAACGAGACCTCTGTCTCCAAAAAAAAAAAAAAATAAATCATGTGGATAAAAATGCCAACATTTAAAATAAAGACTTATGTGACTCACCTCATTTGCTTTACCATAGTTCCAGCCCTGGATTCTAGAGCTAGGATTCTAACTCAAGTCTAACTGTGTCCTTAACCACCCAGCCTCAGGCATGTGCTGCAGGAGCAGAGACCACCTAGGATGACTCTCAAAAGGCTTTGGGCAGATGTCTCTGTGAGGCTCTGCCTGCTGAGCAAGGTGAGCAAAACCATCAAAACCAGCCCCTTCTCCAAGTCCAGGGCTGAGGGGTATCAGTGCAGAGAGAGGAGGGGCTGGGACAAGGAGAGTTGGCCCTCCCACGTCCATCCCTGACTCACAGCCAGACCCAAGCCAAGACCCCCAGGTGGAGAAGAAGGGCGCAGATTCTACACCATGGCCTCTGCCACTCTTGCCCCTCCCCACCTCACCATGTTAACGCCTTTGTGCCAAAGGGAAGGAAGGCTGAGGTCAGGACAGCAGAGGTGAGCTGTCCAGAGCGGGAGCAGCCAGGGCCTTCTGAGGGCTTCTCCAGGAACCTGCTGCCCCAGCCCTGGAGGAGAGCAACAGGGCTCCTTCTTTGTGGTCCTCTCTCTGTGGGTGGGTGGTCTTGGACCTTCTAGGGCTCTGGGTCCATCAAGAGGCTAAAGGTTTAAAAGAAAGCAATCTCAAAGGATCAGCGGGCAGGGACTGGAATTTGAAGCAAGAGATTTCAAGAGAAAGTGGGCAGCTGGGGTGGGGGCTGGGGTCCTGCAAAGAGAGTCCAGAACAGGAGACTTGGATGTGGGAGGGAGGGCAGTTCTGGGCCCTTGGTGAAGACTGAGTAGTCCTGGGAACCCGGGCCTAGAAGTGCCCTGATAATACTGATTTCCTTTCCTTTCCTTTAGGCCCCCACACCCTTGCCCCTCAGCCAGCCCCCGGGGAAGGGGCCAAGAACTGCTAAGGGCAGGAGGCCGGTGGGGCTGGGCTGGGGAGACAGATCTGCCTCCTGCTGTGTAACAAGAGCTCAGGGAGGTTAGGCAACTTGCCAAGGTTCACATCCAGCTCCTGGGGACCTCAAAGCCCGGATACCCCACCATGTCCAACCAGGCTTCCTTCCCAGAGGGTGCGGTGGATCAAGGACTCCCTGGCATGTTCAAGAAAATGCCAATTCCTGGGCTCCTTCAGGTAAACAAGCGCTCAGGTGAGCCTACACAAGCCTCTCAGGCTGTGGCCAGGCTGAGATGCAAGAACCACCCAGAGATTGGAAAGAGAGAGGAGGCGGCGCCTGGTGGAGCTGGAAGTCCCCAGACAGGAATACAGCGACGTTAGTGAGAGAGGGCCAATCCTTAGGGCAAACTTCAAATGAGATAAGTCACATCGCATGTTTTATATCACAATAGTGGCAGTAATTCAATACTAATGATAGCATGCTAATGACCGTGGACATTCTTGGGCCCCAAGAAGTGCAGCGAAGCCAGCCGGTGCTAGGGTGGCCGGGCCCACGCTGGTCCGCGGGAGGTTCCCGGCCGCCCCTACTCCCTGCTACAGCTCTGGTCTGGCCGCAGCATGCAGCGCCTTCTCAGGCTTCGCTTTTCTGGGTCCGGGATCCAAACCCCCGCACAGGACCCAGAGGCCAGGAAAGGCCCCAGCGCGGCGGGGCAGGCGCGCTCCCACGAGCGAGCGGAGGATGACGCTCTCCCGGGTCTGCCCCATCTATCTTCGCCCCAGGGCGAAACCACTGCTAGCAGCCGGAGGGAAGGAGAGTCCTGTCGACCTAAGCAGGGACCCAGGGTGCTCCCAGGAAGATGAGATCCTCCCAGGGTGGGAGGCACAGGCAGGCCCGGAGAAGCAAGGGAGGAGTGGGCGTTTGGGGGGGAAGTGGGGTCTCCAGAGGTGCCCGGGGCAGGAGCAAGGGCCAAGCTGGGGGCTGGCCTGGAAGGGCCAGGGCAGCCCCCCTCGCTCCTCTTGATTTATGATCCCCTCCCCATCTACCAAGCTGAAATGAACGACCGCGGGCTCTGCCCCACCGCGGAGCCAAGGCCTGGGGGCCCCGCCTTGCCGACAGCTTGCAGCCGAGCGGGCCGCTGTCCCCGGGGAGCCGCCGGTCCTCGCCCCCAGCCCGGCCGGCGGCGGGGCCGCTTCCAATCTGCCGGCGGGCGCAGGGGGAGAGCGCCGGGCCGGGCGTAAGGCCACCGCCGACCTCGCCGAGGGAGGAGAAAGTTTCTGCTCCACCTGGCTGCCCGGGCTGCCCCAGGCCGGGCCCCGGGTTTGGGGGGATTCGGGTGCCTCCGGATTCCGCTGCGGCCTCAGAAGCCGAGCCTGACGCGGGGGCTCGGGTGGTGTTCTGGGGCCGGGGATGCGGAGGCAGGAACACGGGGGCGCACCGGGAAGGCCGGCGAAGGGCCCCGAGGCCCACCGCGTCCCCACTGCGGGCGCCTGGGCTCTGCTCCCTGCGCGCTTTGGCCACCCACCGCTCACGATCGAACCCTGGGGCTGGGCGCAGAGCACGCGCTTCAGGTCTGCCGCGTCCTGGGCCACAGCCCGCGGCTGGCCCCGGAAAGGCGCCGCGCTGGAGCTCCAGGGCGGAGTGGAGGGCGAGGGGCCGCGTCATTCACAGCTAGGTTAGGGTTCCAGCCTGCCGTAAAAATACATCCCGGGGAGCTCCGGCTGCGCGCGAGTAAGAAGCCGTTCACACACGTCTACACCCGCACTCCTACGCTCGCACTCCGAAGCTCTTGCGCGGTCCCATTCGGAGGCACGAAAACCGGGCCCTCCCGGGACGTCCATCCCGAGGCGCCCTGGGCTGGGGAGAGGACGCGCCGCTCCTTTGTCCGTCGTCGCGCTGCCTCCCTCGGGGCGCACGGGTTTCTCGGGGCCTCCCTAACGCCCCGGACACGGCCTTCCCGCCTTACCAACGCTCGCCTGAGAGCGAAGGCGTCGCCCCGGTCACTTCCCCGGCGGACACCAGGCTTCCCCACCCGCCAGGCCCGCCAGGCCCGCCAGGCCCAAAGCGGCCAGGAAGGGAGGGCTGAAAATTGTCCTACGCGGGAAACATCTAGAACCCAACGGAAACGCCCCGAAAACAACGTAACAAATTAAAATTTCTTCCCCACACTGGAAAAGGGGCTCTCGGTACACAGGCCCTTCTCTCTCCTCCGGGTCTAGTCCCTTCTCGGTGCTGGAGGAAGAAAAGGGGGAGGAAAAGGACCTACGACATACCTGTGGACAAATAATTGAGTGCTTGCGGGAAAGGGCCAGGGGACACTTGAAAAGCAGCCGCACGTCCCAGCCCACCGGTGGCGGCCGCGGGCTCGGCCCCTCCCCGCCAGCATGCCCCCCCCCGCCCCTCGCCCCGCTGGTCACCCCCAGGAGCTGCATCCACCGCCTAATGAAAGCAAACCGTGTGGAAATCGCCGGTAAACAGTTGGGTCTGTGCTGTAATTAATTCAGTGTCTCTTTTAATCAAACTGAAAGGGAACCGGGCAGCGGCTTGCGGAGCCGTGACATCACCCCCAAAATCGACGGAGCCAATCAGCGTCATCACTCCGGGGACACGTGGGCGAGTCCCCTTTAAAAAAAACACAACACAACGAAAAAAAAAAAAGAAACAACAAAAAAAAAACCCAGCCCCAAAGTAAAAGTGACACAAGTTCATTTTTTAAAGGAAGGGGGGGAGGAGAAGGCGCGCGCGGACCGGCCGCGAGCGCAGCGGAGGAGCCGCCGGCGCTGTCCGCGGTGCTGACGGCCCGTGGCGTGGAGGCGCGAGCGAGGACCTCCCGGCCAGGTGCAGCGCGATGAGCCGAGGGCCGCCGCCGCCGCCGCTATCCGCGGTGCTGATGCCACCAGGTGCGCTCCGTTCCGCCGGCTGGTAGAGCGGCCCGCGCCGCCGCTATCCACGGTGCTGATCCCGCGCCCTCGGCCACGGCTTGCCTGGAGGAAGCGCGCGGTTTGGATTTTTAAAAAGCCATTCTTTATTTAGATTACAACGTCCTCGCGTTTCTTCTGTGCCAAAGGGGCCCTCAGGCCGTCCGTCTCCCCCTTTGCTCTCCCCAACTTGGCGCGCCCTCCCTCCCATTCCTCCCTGACACTCCCACCACCCCCCCTCGGCTCGGCGGCTCGGCGCGATGCTGCAGAAGACGCGCTGAGCCCTTTTGGATCTAATGCGCAGAGGAGGTTGGCCCAGAGCTCCTGGGCTCCCCCAAGGCTGAACTCCGTCCAAGGTGCCCGCAGGCTCCCTGCCCGCCTTCCCCATGCCAGCCCGCAGCTAGGGGCAGGGGCAGCGGCGGCTGGGGTTGGGGGTGGGTGGGGAGCTTTTGGGGAGGACAGGTCGCAGCTTGGCTATGGAAGGCTCCAATGGCTTTGGGATCGACTCCATTCTCTCCCACCGCGCGGGCAGCCCCGCCCTTCCCAAGGGGGACCCCTTGCTTGGGGACTGCCGTTCGCCCCTGGAGCTGAGTCCACGCTCAGAGAGCAGCAGCGACTGCTCTTCACCAGCCTCTCCAGGAAGGGACTGTCTGGAGACAGGCACCCCACGGCCTGGTGGGGCATCCGGCCCAGGTTTGGACTCCCACCTGCAGCCCGGGCAGCTCTCAGCGCCGGCCCAGTCGCGCACCGTCACCTCCTCCTTTCTGATCAGGGACATCCTTGCCGACTGTAAACCACTCGCGGCCTGTGCACCCTACTCTAGCAGCGGGCAGCCGGCAGCCCCTGAGCCAGGGGGCCGTCTCGCGGCCAAGGCTGGGGAGGACTTTAGAGACAAGCTGGACAAAAGTGGCAGCAATGCCTCGTCAGACTCTGAGTATAAAGGTAAGAAAACGGGCGTCGGAAACTTAGGGGAATGTTATGTATCTAAAACTTGTATTTAAAACTTGTGTGCACACACTCGGGGACATGCACACGCTCACCTTGGAGCTCTCTCAGGGCTGGGGTTGAGCGGCTGGTCTGGTGCAAACATTTCAGCCAGTCCTGTGGTCCTGCCTTTGGGCACCAGAGTCCGGTGGAGAGAGCAGGGGTGGGGGAGGGATGCTGTGCCTGAGGAGAGATTCCCCAGAATGTACAAAGCAAACTTTCTCAACTTCAACCGGGCCACCATCCATCCTTCCGGCAGTGCTGGTGGGCAGGAGCGGGTTCCTATCAGAACAGTGGCGCTCTGGGAAGAGCCCTTGCAGAAACCATGGAAGACCCAAAGGGTTGTTTATAAGAGTGAAAATCTAGCAGGAAATTTCAGCAGCAGCCCTGAGAACAGTCAGAATTTTCTGCTCCTTAATCTAAATTTCCAGACAGGAAGAGAAACTGGGCTTTCCCTCCCACTGGGCCCAGCACGACCTGGGTGCTGTGAATCATGCACAAGAAAACGCTCACTTCAAAGCAGCAAGGGCAGCCAGGTGGGCGCAGGTTGGTTCAGAGGTCTGGTGGAGAGGGGAGCACCCTGCACCCACCCAGAAGTTTTCACCGAATTTGATTTTAAGTGTGTTGTGCAATAAACTCCAGGTCGTATTGGGACCCAGAAATTCCCGAAGAACCAGTCCTGTTTTCCCCTCAGTTGGGGCTGCTGCCTCTTCACTTGCCTTTTTTGTTTGTTTGTTCCTTTTTCATTCTGTCTTAAGGAGCTGAGATCAGGATTAAGGGCAAAGAGGGAAAGAAGGAAAGGAGGAAAGAAGAAAAAGGGAAAGAGGAAGGGAAGAAGGAAAGAGTTTCCTAATTTTGTTTCTGACCCCTAGCCACTGCCTCCACTTTAGCTGTTTGCTGGGGCCAGAGGCACAAACTTCCTTCCAAGGAAGAAGTCAAGAGGCAGATGGGAGGAGAAGTAGCAGGGCTTCGGGGACAGGGCCCTACACCCTCCTCCAGCAGAGAGCTAGAAGCTGGCAGAGGCTGTTCAGAGCTCTTTCATATACTTAATTCCCAGAACCTTTTTCAGGAGGCAAAATTTGCCTATAAAGGCAACTTCGTTATTGTCCTGGGGCCCCCACAGTTCCTGGCCCCTATTTGTACCAAGCCTTCACGAACAATTTGGGAAGGCTCATTGAACACTCTCCTCCCAACCAAGAATTCATTTGCAGACATGTCCTGACCCCAAACCAAAACCCGCTGGGGGTCCCACTCCACAACCCATTTTTGTCCACTTCCCCCACATGAATGGCTGAGCCTCCTTCAGCCGGGCTGGGCCAGCGTGCCTGGAAAATGGGCAGGTTGGACCGGAACATCTGGGATGAGACCTGGAGGCATGTGGGCGCTGGGAGCCCCGCACCTCGGCCCAGCCGCCCTTCTGCCCCACAAAGCCTGTTTAGAGAAGCAAAGAAAAACTTGCCCAGGTGTGGACAGGAGGGATAGGAAGGCGATGTGAATATATATATTTATAATACTATGTTTATTATTTACAACTTGCAATAATACCCCAGCTTTAAGGGTTGAGCAAGGGACAGAGCAAGGGACAATAATGTCCATCCTCACGTGCTAATGGCTGGGGCTGGTGGTGGCAGTGGTGAAACAGTTTGGCTCTTGGCTCCTTTTATTTCTTTGCTCCCAGGTAGGATTTTGAGGAGAGGATTCATTTATGGTAATTGGAATATCAATCTTCTCCTCCTGTCCCTGATGATATCTGATCAGGGAGGTGACAAGGGCCTGGCCGGCCACTATCCCCTAAATAGGTTTGGAGCAGAGGGGGTAGAAGTTCTCCCCCAACCCCCACCCACAGGCAGCTACAAAGCCCCGAGTGAAAAAAGATGTAGGGACTTTGAGCAAGGCTGCATCTGGAGCGAGCGTTTCTCAGAGCCGAGTCAGGAAGCCCGGCCGAGAGAGACACACGCTGAGCCCATCCGTGGGGGCATTTATGCCTATAAATTCCCCAGCCACCTCCCAACATGAGTCATTTCTTCCAAGGAGGGCGTGGGGGAAGGCCAGTCTCATCCCAAGTTTCTGGTGTCAAAGGCTCCTCAAACATCGTATTTAGAGAAACTGAAACCGGGTTCGCAAAGTGAAACTCGGCAGCAGCCGTGGCTGGAGCCGCCGTCCATGGGGAGAGCAAACCAGTGCTCTGCCCCGCGCAGGCAGGGGTGGTGGCCCTCGAACTCTGGGACATTGACATGTACCCTCCAGACCAGAGTCTGGAAAGCCGCTGGGTCGAGCCTGTCCCCGAGGCTAAGGCAGAGCGGGCACAGATTACGCACCCCCAGGCTCCACGGTAGTGACTGGAGAAAAGCCCCGGTAGCTGACCCTCTCCTCCTGACACCCCACGCTGAGCACCCTCGCCCCCACTTCAGACCTCTGCCCCGGGAAGTGGAGGGTTTTCATAAACAGTCCGGGTTATTAGGTCGAAAAGTAAGATTTCTGCAATATCAAGTTTGAGGGTGGGAGGATTGTTTCCTCCAACCTGTTTACACTGCCTGCCTGTGTAGACAGAGCTGGAGTTCCCCCCATCCTGACACAGGCCCATGCCTGGACCGAGCAGAGCGGCGAGCAGGGGCAGCCGCACTGGCCCGAGGATGGGGAGAGAAGCTCCCCGAGGTTTCCGGCGAGCGCTCTCCTCGCTCGGCCGCCTCCGCGCACCTAGTGCCCGCACCCTCCCTGCAGCGTGGCGCTGCCTTTCTGGTTGAAGTCTCACTCCCCAGTGGCTCAATTAACTGGATTATTGTTTCCTAGGGAGAGAAATCAACTTGCATTCAGCTGAACCCTGTCGCTGAAAAGCCACACACAATGAAACTCACCATAAAAGAAAATAGAGAAAAATGGGGGTAGGGTGTAGCCCCAGGCCGGTTTTGGAGAATTGGTCTGTTTGGTTATATAATCGCGTTAGCGGAGAAGGAGGCTGAGCATTAAGCTTGTTCGATTAAGTGTGAGTTTTCTGTGCAGTCAACCCTGAGCGAAAAGTGTTTAGGGTAAAAAGACACACCCGTGTCCGGCCCATTCTTGGACCTCAGGAGCTGGCCCCGGTGCTGTTCTGTGCCCACGGCGGGCTGTAAACACAGGACTGCACGAAGGTGCATGGGAGCCACGGCGGGCAGTGTGATGACATCGAAACACAGAGCTCGGCGGTGCGCGAGCCCGCGGGGCAAACGCCCGCAGACTCACACGGTCGCTCATTTCTCCCAGTGCTTCGTGCTCAGATCCCGGCACCCGGCCTTCCGCCCCGCACGGTTTGTAGGCGGCAAAAGTGTCAAGGGAAACCATCGCCACAGCTTCGCACCCATGTAGGGGCAACTTGAGGCGTGGGTGCAATTTTCTGCTCTTCAGGACAAGAACTGCTCCGGGTGAGCGGGTGTCTGTCCTTCCATGCGGGTTTTCTCCCTCCCTCCCCGTCACAGCGCAGCCGGGGAAACGGGGACCAGACGCGGAGCCCACTCTGCCAGGAACCCCGAGCCCCTGCCCTGCTCGGGCGGGGCGGGTCTGGCTCCATCGCTGCGATTCCGTTTCTCTCTCCAGGGAATATGGGTGCCACGGGACGGGTTAAAGTTCTCTCCGGCTTGGGTTCTTTCTCCACGGAGCTGTAGTGCGTCTGGGCCTCGGGCGCTCCTGCCCCTGCCCCCCTGGGTCAGGGCCCACACCCTGTTCCCCAGGGCCTGGATGTCCACTTAAGTGGCTCCGCTGCGGTCCGCACACTCTTGGGTGCCTCGCTCGGGACCATGGCGATGGGGAGCTGTGTTTACACAAACGCAACGGGCCAGCGGCGGCCCTGGGGTGGCAGGGCTCGGGTGGCAGTGGCTGGCAGCGGGGCTGGGCCCTGACGCGCCATTGTGTGTTCGCAGTGAAGGAGGAGGGCGACCGTGAGATCTCCAGCTCCAGGGACAGTCCCCCGGTGCGCCTGAAAAAGCCGCGCAAGGCGCGCACAGCCTTCACCGACCATCAGCTGGCGCAGCTGGAGCGCAGCTTCGAGCGGCAGAAGTACCTGAGCGTGCAGGACCGCATGGAGCTGGCCGCCTCGCTCAACCTCACCGACACGCAGGTCAAGACCTGGTACCAGAACCGCAGGTGAGGCCGGGGCCGGGGCGGGGCAGAATGGCTCCGTCCCCTTCCTCACAGCTCCTAGAGCCAGATCTAGAGCCCACCCACCACCTGCACTAAGGGAGGGCCCTTGAACCTCCTCCATTCTGTAAAAGTGGGGAAACTGAGGCCCTAAGGGGAGACGGTCTTGCCCAAATTCCCACAGTGAGAAACAGAGACAGGATTAGACTTGGTCTCCTATGCCTGCTCATCCCTTTCCAAGGGGGGGGGTGGACAGACACAGGGGCCATCAGAGGTCCAAGTCCTGCCCCACCCCTGCCAGGAGGTCCTTCAGGGAGCACACCCCACCTGAACCAGCCCTAATCTGGGTCTTGCTTGGGGCCTTTGAGCTCCTCCAGTGGAAGCCCCATGGGAGGGGTGACAGCTTTGGTGTCCAGAAAGCCTTGTGGAAAGGGACAAGGCAGGACAGGCAGCAGCCCCTATGGTGACATGGCCCGGCCCAATCCAGGCTGCTGTAGGTGACTCTGAACTTTTGCTCGGCTCTTCCGGCCTCCCCAGCCTTTACAGTCCCAAAACCTGAGGTAGGAACTGGCCTAGCCTCAGCTCCTTGGGGACACGGTGTCTGGGAAGTTGGTGTTGGGGCACTGGTCTTGAACCTGCTTCCTGACTTCCCTCCGGAACACATTCACCAGACTTAGATACACATGTACAAGACACCCACATAGCGACACACACTGACACACTCGAACACAACTCATCGTCACACACACAATTGCCCCGTGCTTTTCATAAACAAGCCTCAGAACACATCGCCCCATTAATAATAGATACCGATTACTGCTCTGGGCATCAATAATTAAGGCCCGTTATAGTAATTACACAATTATGATGATGATGAATAATTCAGGGAGGGAAATGGGCCTGGTGTGGCTGAGCCCACCTCGGTGGGACCCTGGCTGGTGCACCTCACCTCACCTGCCAGGTGAGCCCGGGCTCCCGGCCTGCCTTCCCCAAACTCCAGGTGGACGGCCAGCCTGCAGTCTCCTCACTTTGGGGCCAGACAGGATGCAGGGCTGGGACCTGGATGCCGAGGGCGGCAGGCTCCACCCGGCTGCGGCCCTGGGCGGGTGCGTGGGCCCCGCCAGGAGCCACTGCCACCTCCGCCCTGGGGCGTCTCAGCAGCACCTGCCTCCGCTGGCCCCTCGGCGGGAAAATCCGCCTCGCTGCCGACCATCCTCCCTTCCCTCGCCCTCTTCAGGGCGACCCCACCTTCATAAAGTCCCCCAGGGGACGGATACGCACGCAGGGGGAGCCCCAACTCCCAGCTCCGAGGCCCGCTCAGCTCAGCATCTCCCGAGCAGAGGGCGGCGGGGTTAGAGCCAGGCTTTGGGGTCAGACAGCCCGGCTTAGAACACGGCCTCCACCGCTTTCCGGAGGATCTCGAAAACTAGCCCGCACCTCAGTCTTCTTGCGTGTAAAATGGGGATAAGAGCCACGCAAGGCCTCTGCAAGGTTAAAGGAGAGACGCGCGCAAGGCGCGCGAGCCGGGCTGTGTCTGGCACTGCTACATATTGACCACAGCTCCATCGTCCTGGGCCTTCCTGCAGGCGCTCTGGGCTCAGCCTCGGGAGGGAGGGGGTCGGCGATGCCCTGTGTCTGAACCCGCCCTGCGCGTTTATTTCGGTCCCCAGGACTAAATGGAAGCGACAGACGGCCGTCGGGTTGGAGCTGCTGGCGGAGGCGGGCAATTACTCGGCGCTGCAGCGGATGTTCCCGTCGCCTTATTTCTACCCGCAGAGCCTGGTTTCCAACTTGGACCCCGGCGCCGCGCTCTACCTGTACCGCGGCCCCAGCGCGCCGCCGCCCGCCCTGCAGAGACCTCTGGTGCCCCGCATCCTCATCCACGGACTGCAGGGCGCCGGCGAGCCGCCCCCGCCGCTGCCCCCGCTGGCCGGCGTCCTCCCGCGCGCCGCGCAGCCTCGGTGAGGGCCCGCCGCCTTCCGGAGGGCGCGGGGTTCAACGCCCCTCCCCGGGAGGGGGCCCTGCCCAGTGCTCCCGACGGGCCAAATGCCAAGTCCTCTGAGGCCCGGACCCCGGACTTCGCCTCCCCAGCCCTCCTCGGCGTCCTCCCTCCCGGCGCTCCCGCCGGGGAGCCCCTTCCACCGCCGGGTGTACATACGTCTCTGCCCCTCCCCGCGCGGCCCCCAGTTTCTGCCGCCTCCCCTAGGCGGCCCCTGTCGCCCCGGGAGCAGGTGGGGCTCGTGCCCAAGCTTCTGCTCCCTCTACTCCCCTCCCGCGCTCCAGCAAGGGACCGACCCGTCCCGCACCCAGCCAGGGAGAGGAGGGCGCGCAGGCCCCCACCCGCTCCCTCCTCCTCCCAGCGCCCGGCCGGCGGCTGCGCTGTACATACTGTGTGCAAAGTGTATATGAAGTTATTTATTCGTGACCCATGAGCCCGTGACCGTGTCGGTGAATTAGTGAGTCTGTGGCCTGTGCCCTCCCCCCTCCCAGGCTGGGCAGGAAGGGGCCGAGGGGGCTCGCCCACCCACCCGACCCCAGTCCCCACCCTCGCCCCGTCCCGGGGGCAGCCAGGCCTGTCGGGTTCTCTCTTTTTTAAATGTCAAAATAAACTTCTTACAAATGACCAGGCGCCCGTCCGGCTCCCGTCGGTCTGTCTGCGCTCAAGCCGCGCTCCCGTGCTTCCTTAAGAACCACTTTCCTCTCCCTGGACTCGGCCTCCTTCCACCCTCAATAACGAAACAGCGGTGTCCCTTCCTCTTCCTCGGTGCTGTGGCCGTGTGCAGGGGCCCCGACTGCACTCGCTGGGGCCTTGGGCAGGGTCCCCGCTCCTGGCCTCAGTCTTCCCATCTCTACAATGAGCGAGCCCCCCTCCGCCCCCCTCCCCCTCTGGTTCCTCGCTGCTCCCAGACGGTCCCGGGCCGGGCGGGGGTCAGCGCCGGCCTCACTCGGCGGCGGGCCGGGCCACAGGGCGCTCGCTGAGCCGACTCATCTGGCCGCGCCGAGGGCCCCGGCAGCTGGTGACCGGCCGCGGGCGCGGGCCGACAGATGGGCTCCGAGGCTGCCCCCGTCACCCCACCCCGCCCCGCGCCGGCCGCGCTCTGGCTCCCGCCTCGCTGCGCTGGGACTCAGCGCGCCTTAGCCGAACCGAGGACCCTGACGCCGCATCGGGTAACCGCCCCCACGCCCGCATCTTCTCACTTCCCCCTTCGCCCCGCGAGCAGTTTGGAAATGAGACCCAGAGGGGAGCAAATCCCCACGTCTGCCCCATCCTTTCTCGCCGCCCCAGCCTGTGGCTACAGGATCTCAGGGGAGGGGGTTTAATTCCTGAGTCGGACTCCAGGCCTCGAGTCCGCGTAAAGGGCCAAGGTCACCTCCGAGACTGTTCCCTCTGGGGAGGATGCAGGTGCTCCCCTCCCACACACCACCTGCAGCTCGCTGGCCCTCAGGGCTAGGACGTTTTGGGGCCTAGCGAGCCGAGCCCCCTCTAGGCTGGTGGTAGGGTTGTTGGGGGAGGACAGCCTGGTGGAGGGGTGGGGACGTGCAGACTATCACCCTCTGGAACAGCAGACCCGCGGCTGGTCTGCTACTGTTTCCTCCCCGCCCCCCAACACCCTGGCACAGCAGCTTTTCTTTCCTGGGATAGAGAGGGTATTATTCTAATTTTGCAAAATGCACAGCAGCTAATTAAGTCAAGGAGCCCCTGGCTTTTGAGTTCTTTTGCATGTGAATGGGGGTTGGTAAATCCCCAGCTCTGGCTGTGGTGGGGGGCGAGCAGGGACTGTCCCCAACTCAGGGTTAATGAAGTGGGAAAGAAGTCTCTCATAGCCTCCTGCAAACAAAACCCCCCATGCAACAAACCCTGCCCAAATCCTACATGGATTGACTTAAACCCAGGGGATAAGTGCTTTAAATTAATCTCATTGAATAAGAATGAGACCAAACAAAACTCTTTAAAATCATATTAAAAATCTATCAAAGGACAACTTGCACTGGTGTGCTTTTCATTTTGTGAAAGTGAAGGAGGTAGACTAGAGCAACCACCCTTACATTTACACAGCGGCAGTGTAAATCACAGACACATTCTCAACTATGTAATTGTCCTTGTACCTCAGAGGCGATTTCATATCTTACATTAATGAAGAACAAGGCTTCCCTACAAGTTTATAATTACAATATTTTAAATTGTCCTGCACATCTCATCTGTAATAATAACTTCACAACCTTCACAGAGAGGTGGGCTTCTGCTTTCATCCACTTAGAACAACGCTAAATTGGTTTCTCTGTTCCCAACCCTGGGCCTGGGTGAGCTCTCATTTAAAATAGGAATGAATGTGAGACCCCCACGGGCTGAACAATAGGAGAGGCGCAGAGGAGGCATCTTCTCCTCTGGGGACCCACCCCCTTACCCACCTAGACTCAACAGGGCAGGGGCACCAAAGTTTAAAAGAACTTTAGATCACCCCACTAGGCTTCAGTTGCAAGGCTTCTGGAAATTAAGAATGTTGGCTGATTTTAAGGGTGTCCCACTGCCCCCCCCACTGACAGGGCTTCCTCTGGATTTTTCCTATGGCGGAGCAGATTAAGAGATAAAGTATAATGGTCATGGAGGTGATTTAACAAGACCAGTTAAGAACCCTTTTCAAGCAGGGCAACTAGTGGAAAAGCCTTACATTTCTTGCCTCTACAAAGTGACGGCTGGATTTGAATGGCTTCCACGGACCATGTGTTGAAGGGCTGAAGTGCGAGAAACAGCAAGGCCACTGGCAGTCTGTCATATACTTGCCTTAAAAGGTCTCATTTGCTCCCCTCTTCCCCAAATCTCACCTCCCTTCATTCCAGGGGGAAAAGAAAAAAAAAAATCAAAGGAACCCACTAGGCTTTGTCAAAAAATATCCTTTGCTGAGATTTGGTTGGTTCTTTGCTGCCCTAAGAGTGGGAAATGCTGTTTGCATTGCATCAGCACCGACTTAATCTCTCACCAAGGGCTCTGTGCCCTTCAGTGCGTGAGAATGGGACGGGGCCCTTCTGAAGACGGGCAGCCCCTAAGGACTGCAAACATGAGGATGTTTTGGATCCTGAAAAAGCATTCTACAAGTCCACCAGAGAAAAAGGCTTTCAGCTGCAAAATTCCATTAAATGCCCAAATTCTTTATGACTTTAAATATGGGAACCAGGCTGGTGACACAGAAACATGGACAAGTTTGGGAAATTTAAAAAAGAAGCTCGATTAAAAATACACATAAAAATTAGATTATGTACAGTAGAATTAGGCTAAAGCTTTGCCTAATTGAGGCCTGAAATATATAATCTGTCAAGAGCCATAATAAGGAGAAAGAGATTTATTTTAAGGTTATTTAAATTTAAATAATATTAACCCTAAATCAGCTAAATCCATGTTTCTTTATTAACTGGGGTAGTATATTGATTCTACTTAGAAACTGGCCCACATAGCATCTATGGCAAGAAACCCTCACCTAGGAGTTAGCCTAGCAGGTAAGTTCTGATCTTGGGATTAGTCACTTACACTCTGCACCGTTCTAGCACTTCTCTCTCCCCACAGGAATGCAGACCTCTGCCAAGTCACCCTTTTGTGGAATGAGTACTATGGGGGGAAAAAAAACGTAAGGTTTCTCTTTGATCAACTCCAATCACTGGCATTAATCCTGTTTTTCACACAGCTGGGTTTTGTCTCAAGTTTGATCCCTCCTTTTCTCATCCAAATCATGTGAACCATTACACACTGAAATAAAAGAAAGGTGGCAGATTTGCCCAAAGCCAGTCTGACATGTGCTACAGGGTTTTTTTTATTATCATTACAAGTTTCACCATCAGTTCCTATCCATTTGTATGTGACCGCCAGCTCTGAGAGGGTCCGGTTTTTCCCCTGGCGGAGGATCCAGCTTCTCTAGGGTCACAGCTACCCCACCCTAGAGCCCTTGCTGGCGCGGCGCCAGCCGGCACTGGCCGGGGTCTGGAATGGAGGCAAGGGTGCCGACCCTGGGTGCTGTCTCTGCAGAAAGGCCGGCCTCGCCAACTCTCACCACTCTCTCCCGGCCTTTCAGTTCACGGGGATCTGGGAGTTTACTGAAGTGGTGCCTCAACACACTCACCTACGAAAGAAAGCACGGAAGCACGGAAGCATGGACGGCTGCGCAGTAACTGCAGTGACGGAGAAAAAGGAGAAAACTGAGAATGAGAGGCACAGCGAGCAGGGCAGGCACCACGCCCAGACAGAGGTGCTGAGGCTTTGTGTGTGTGTGTGTGTGTGTGTGTGTGCGCGCGCTGAGCCTTTTAACCCTTTCTCTTTTGGACCCCTCAGTAAGTGTCCAAATCTTACATTTATTGGGAAATCAATGCACTCCAGGGGTCCTCTTTCAAACCTCCCAGAAAGCACAGTGTGGGGAGGGCAGCTGTGGCCTGGGTTACATCACAAAGACCCCCAGACTTTTCTTGAAGATGGAATTTGATGGGAGAAAACAGCACAGGACGCTGGTGCCTTTTGACTTCAAAGGCAAATAACAAAAAGGCAACAGTAAATCAATTAGCCCTGAGAGAGAGTTTCTGTGGACATGAAAGAAGGAGCAGTGCATGTAAATAGCACATTGTGTTTACAGAAGCACGTTTCTAGAAGAAAATAAGAGGCTCCTAATGTGCCTGAAAACACATTAGTATTTTTGAACCAGACCAAAAACTTTCGGTCCTTTCTAACAAAGCATTTGTACGTAAAGAAAATAAATACTTGATAACTATCGTTTTCTGTTTTTACAAATTCAAATCTAGTTTTTAACATCCTACTTCACAAAATTCAGGCCAATATATGCATTGATAGGGCTAAGGTTGTGAAACTTCCCCAGAACTATTACGGGGCAGGAACCAAACCCCTGCCAGGCTGGTGAACAGGACATCAACACACCAAGTCTTGGGCACAATCTCATCTACGGGTGCAGGCAAATGTCTGGCACTGATGGAGTAAGCACGAGACGCAGCCGTCGCCTGCAGTTATGTGGCTAGTTTATGCTGTGCCGACTCTCTTCTCTGATTTCTATCAGGGCTCCTCCCACAAAAGACAAGGTCTGGGGCCCCTATGAGTCTCAGGGACTCAGCACTCAGGAGAAGGCAGCAGTTATTTTTCACAGGGCTCCTCTGACAAGAAGAGGACATCAATCCAGTACCACCGGGGCCTCCAGGATCCACTCTGAGAGCCAGTCCTGTGGAGGGAGACCTTTAAAAAACTTTCCGGGAAGTCTTGATGTCTCAGTAAGCCTTTCTTGGTTTTTCTCTGTTTCTTAATTTTTTCCCACGGCCAAGGCAGGGCGCTGGCTGCAGACCGAGCTGCAGTGGTTGGCGGCCGGGCTCTTTGTGTTTGTTTTGCTTTTTGACCTTGGCAACGCTGGCCTCCATCCCACTTGAGTATTCGGAACGTAAGATTTCAGCAAGGTGGTGTTTACTCCGCATCTTCTTATGAAGGTCAGGCCTGGAGAACAGTAACAGCAGAGGGAAAAGAAACTTTATTATTTTTTTCTTTCCCATTTGGAAAGAGCCTGATGGCAGCTGGCTCCAAGACTATGAAGCTGACATTTTTGTATTAACAGAAGTACAATCCCTTCAATAGTGCTTGTTTTGATATT